TTCAAGGAGGGAAGGTTTACTTTGGCTTACAGTTTGGGAGAATAGTTCATCATGGCCATCATAGTTAGGGATTCTGTTGCTGCAATTGAAACACCATGACCAAAGCAACTTGGGGAGGAAAGGGTTTATTTCAGCTCACACTTCCAGGTAACAGTCCATCTCTCAGGGAAGTCAGGGCAGGAACTCAAACACGGTAGAAACCTGGAGGCAGGAGTTGATGCAGAGTCCATGGAGGAGTACTGGCTTGCTCCTCATGGCTTGCTCAGCCTGCTTTCTTATAGAACCCAGGACCACCTGCCCGGGGATGGCACCACCCACAATGGGCTGGGTGCCTTGCCAGATCTTATGGGGGCATTTCCTCAACTGAGGCACCGTCCTCCCAGCTTGTGTCAAGTTGACATACAAACTAGCCAGCACAATGGCCACGAAGGCACAGCAGTCGGAGAGGGAGGCAGCTGGTCACCTAGCATCAGCACTTAGGAAGGTGAGAGAAAAGACAGGAAGTGGGGGCTGGGCAATGAAACCTTGTGGATTACCTGCTAGTGACCTACTTCTTCCAGCCAGGCTCCGCTTCCTGAAGTTACACAACTTTCTCAAACAGCGTGCCAGCAAGTGTTTGAGCATGTGAGCCCATGAGGAACATTTCATATTCCAAACACAACTCCTTCCTCCACCTTCCACGTTCCTCCTTCAAATCCACAGACAGCTGCCTTCTTGGCATTCTTCTGGTCAAAGCCCTGGCCACTTTGCTTCTCAACTGGACCTTGGTACCACCCATCTCCTGACCTTGGTGGACCAACGTCATCTCCAGGCTTACCACAAGCTGGAGTTCTTGGGTGAATTTATTTGTCTCGCCTATCCTCAATCTTCCCTCACTACAATGCGGCTTACCTTGAGACATTGTCCAGTGCTGTAATCTCAGCGTCTAGAGGGAGATCTAGCTTGTAGCATTTACTTGATATGTTCTGGCAAGTAAATATATGAACAAGCATACTGTCTGCCCCCCTTCAGCCAAAGGCCTGGTGCACAGCAGGCAAAACCACAAAGCCTTAGTCCTTTCCCTTTGAGAAGTCTGTATCTTTGTTGAGTGCCTAGATAACTATGAAAAATAAGAGTAACAGATGTTCAGCGCCATAATTGTGGTACCCACTGGTCCCCAGGAGTGTGCAAAGGAAGTCAACATCATTTCAAATGAGGTCATCTAGCAAGACTGGTCACCAGGAGTGTGCAAAGGAGGTCAACATCATTTCAAATGAGGTCATTTAGCACGATGTCTAGGAACAGACAGGATGTGAGTTGGGGTTTGCAGTGGATAAAGATGAGAGGTTGAAGTCAGAGTTCCAGAGGAAGGAAAGGTCCAGACAGAAGGCTACAGTAGAAAAGAGAAAGGCAGTTTGTGGGGTAGAGGTGGTAAGGTCAGATGTGCTGACCTAGGTGGTCCATTTAGGGAACAGAGGACAGAAGTCAGTGTTACTGTTGGAATACCCTATGAGCAGGCTAAGGCAGCTGGCAGGTCCAGAGGCAAAGCAGGTAGACACAAGCCAGAGGCATCATTGGAGTTTGGTATTGGGGCACAAATGCATCCTGGGCATAGGCTCAATCCCATTTGTTTGGTACCCAAGGCCAATAGTCACAATAAGCTATCTAACAGATTCAAGAAGAGTCCAGTGATGTAGAGTTCTCATGGGCGAAAAATCTACAGGGAAGTCACATGGGCATCTGCACAGCTCAGCCTCGGTTCTCTAGACCAGCTGGCAACCCACCTCCTTCTCAGGTTCCTTTTCTTCTCCCTGGTACCTGAGCTCCCTATGGAAACACACTTTGATGACCCAACAGAATACTTTTTTCTACTCTGATGTTATTTCTCAGCAGAAAAGCTTATGCAGCTCCATCGGGGCTGTAGTTTTATTGGTGCACATTCCCTCGTGTAGTTTTCCTCCTTCCTTCAAATCGCTGGTCACAGGAAGTGATCCCACTGCTTTTCTACCCACAGATGGAAGGAAGACTAGTGGACAGCAGCACTGTCAAAGGCATGGCGCTGACGGGCTGACGGCTTCAATACAGTCAGACTAGTCCTAGCCAGTGGATGTTTGAGTGTTTGGGGGCTGGAGGATGCTCGGTGGTAAAATGCTTGTTGTGCACACATGTGGACCTGAGCTGGGTCCCCAGCGCACTCAGAAAAACCCGTGTACAGAGGTGTATTCCTGTAATCCCAGCCCTGGGGAGACAGAGGCCGGCAGATCCCTGGAGCGCCCTGGCCAGCCAGTCTAACTCAGTCAGTGAGCCATCCCCACCATTCAATGAGAGAATTCAAAAAACAATCTGGGGATGGAGATATGGCTCAGAGTTAAGAACACTGGCAGCTCTTCTACAGAGTCTAGGCTCAATTTCCAGCACCCATATGGTGGCTCAAAACCATCTGTAACTCCAGTCCCAGGAGATCTAATACCTTATTCTGGCTTCTACAGGCACCAGAAACACACATGGTGCACATATACATGCAGGCAAAACATCCACAAACACGAAATAAAAATAAATAAATTTTAAAAATAAATTTAAATTCCTCATTATAATCATCATCACTGTCGAGAAAGCAACTGAAGAAGACCTGACATCAACCTCTGGCTTCTACATGTGCACATATCCACATGACACACACCAACGCAAGTGTATACACACATACACACACACACACACACACACACACACACACATATACACAAAGATATATTATTTCTGAGATGTTCCTACATGTGTGTGTGTGTGTGTGTGTGTGTGTGTGTGTGTGTGTGTGTGTGTGTGTGTAATATCAGTACTTTCCACTCAGAAGCTCCTACTGTGTTACTATGCTCATTTTAGCAGTTTGTCTTCCTGACAGACTTGTGAAGAGGACCAGGAGGCAAGAGTGGCCTCCTGATCAGGGCAAGAAGGGATTATCCAAGCCAGCAAGAGCCTCAGGATGCAGGGAACAGTGGCCCCCAAAATAGGCCTGATGTATATTTTCCCTCAGCTCAGGCAATGATAGAAAGTAGGAAAGGAATTGTACACATCATCATTCCATCTATCCCATCTATGTCCAGAAAATCCAGGCATTGGTTATCCCAGAATATCACCATTCACTATGAAAACATGGCAGAAACCAGATTCCATCCATTCGCTACCACCAAAACAATAAAATGAAAAAAAGCACTGATGGGCCTATGGATAATTTCAAAGAGGTCAGCACTGCCCACGTTTTCTGTGAACACACACATTCTCAGAATCCTTCCCCAGGCTTGTGGGGACTGGTTACCCTGTGGCTCCTGATATACTGGCAACTTGAGAGTAAGAGTTACCTGCTGCCCTGTGAGATGTGACCACTACCAGGGTGTAGCGGGGACAGTGGCTCCTGCAGTGCCCCAAGCTGGAGTTGCTTATTGACAGCCTGGCATTCTCAGGGGGACCCAGACTAACCTCTGTAGAAAGACAGGTCCTCTAGTCCCACCTGGCTCTGGATCCAGACATGAGGGGTGAGGCCTAGAAATCTGGAGCACAGAGTCTTCCCTCAGGCAGAGGGCACTGTTGGTATGACTACTCCACAGAGTCCTACCTCAGACAGAAGGCACTGTTGGTGTGACTACTCCACAGAGTCTTGCCTCTGGCAGAGGCCACTGATGGTGTGACTACTCCACAGAGTCCGGACAAGAGCAGTGGGTATTGTTGTGACTACTTCACAAACAGTGAAGAGTAATTCTGCACCACTCACTGCCACCCACTCCCCACTCCCACCACTTGGTATCTTGGAGAAACCATGTCTTCTTTGCATCCATTCACTGTAGCATTAGACAAAGATGGCCGCCATCCCACAGCCATGAGTCTCTGATCTCTTTGGTGGCACTCATAATTCCTTGAGAATTCTGGAAAGACCATCTGTTTCCAGGTGTCAGGAAGTGTTATAGAGCTGTTTCCCTTGCCGGCTTTTGGACTCTTCCCAAAGCCTGGACTTCTGTGAGCCACATGGGATAGAAAAGTGGAGGCTGGCATTGGTGTGCTGTTAGGCCACACATAAATGGTGGTTATTAGTGTCACAGAGACAAGAAGGGGCACTGGGGAGTCTTGTCCTAAGAAAAAGTACAGGGACAGCACAAGATACCCTAACAGGGATAACAGAATACACACTGAGGACCTGGTGACTTGTGGATGTAGGGAAGTCTACCATGCACAAGTCACCTAGGCCAGGCTGAAACCATGCTTCTGAACAGTCAGTTCCAGGGAGGACCTGGGAGCATCCCCAAGTGATAGCCATTTCATCGTCTACTCTGAGAAGCTTAGCCATGGATTGTCTCTGAACAAGTAAACAGCAAAGAAGAACTCCGGGGACATTAAAGATGAGATGTCCCACCCTGCCCTAAGGATTGCCCAGCTTATACAGCTCAGTTCAGTGGGCTGAGAGATAGCCATCCCCCTCAGTGATGAGCTGAGACTACCTCAAACTGGAGTCCACGAGACCCAAGGGGAAGGAATGTGGGCTCTAGGCACTGCGTCAGAAGTGAGAATGTGGACCCCTACAGTTTGCTTGGGCTCACCAATTGTGTGCCTCCATTACTGTACTCACTTTCCCAACACAGCCCCAGAACACACGGTGTTCTGAATGTGCCATCCCAGTGAGCTAGAATCCCCACCTGAGGATGACCCCCTGTGCCTGCAGAACGACCCAGATCCCTATCCTACTCCTTCTTCCTCCACCTCTTCCTCCCTGCCTTATCTCCCTCTTCTCCCCCACCCCACCCCCTTCTCTCTCTCCCTCACCAAGCCTGTGAATATTGTCCTTGGGGGCCTATTAAAACAATGACCAAGGCATAAGCATTTGCTCAAAGACGTAAATGAACTGAAAAGTATTCACTTTGTCAACATACAGGGGCAACTGGAAGTGACAGATCTTGTCTCCCTGCCACGTGAGGGCTGTGCTAAGCCAAGGTTTCTCCAGCTTTGCTGAAATTGTTCTCACTTCTCCTCCTCAGCCAGAAGACATTGGACAAGCACCCATCGTGAACGCCCCAGAAGGTGGCAAGGTTGACCTGGAAGCCTTCAGCCATTTTACAAAAATCATCACACCAGCAATCACCAGAGTGGTGGATTTTGCCAAAAAGTTGCCCATGTTTTGTGAGGTGAGGAAATGGCTCTTCCTTCTGGGCCACTTTTCACAATAGTTCCATTGATTACCAAGAGTGCAGGATATCGTTTAACAGCAATCAGCAGAACTTCATGGTAGGAAAGCAGAGTCCGTGTAAAACAAGAATGCCTGCAGGGCTGCAGCTCGGTGGTAGAGCATTGGCCTTGGATGCGTGGCCTAGGATCTATCCCCAGTACTGTCAAAAGAAAAGGAAGGCTGGCCTTGCAATTGTGCCTTCAGCCAGCTCTGGGAGACAGACAAAATTAGCTTATCGAGTGGGTTGCCAAGGTTTGAACTTAATCTATGCCCCTTCTACAGAATATTCCAGAGAGATGGCTGTGCGGTTGATTCTTAGTCCAGAAGAACTGAAGTCAAATGGCCCTCACAGCGCAAGACTCTTATTGTCTCTGTAGAGCTTCCCTGTTTCCTACCAGTGCATTCCCTTGCCCTCTTGGGGCATAAAAACTCACCCACCCCCCCACCCCCCCCCACCCCCCCCCACCCACCCCCCCCCCCGCCAGAGCCATGCTTCCCCTCAGGGATACTCCCTCCCTCCCTCAGCACCTCTCTACCTCACCTCAGCTCACTTCCTGCCTCATTTTGACAGCCTCATCTTGCAGCAGGTGAGAACAAAAGCACTGCAGGGTGTGGCCAGAATCCTCAGCATGTGTGTTGCCGTCTTCTGGCCTGGGTCATATCATCCTTCTACGAGACCGGCAGTGGTATCTCTTAGGGCACGCGGGACGTTCAGATCGGGCCACACATGTAAAACGCTGTCCCTCTGCCCTGCCTGAGTAACAAGCACTGAACACGTTTCAGCTAACCATGCTGCTATTTCTTCTCTCTGTCTCTCTGGAACTTGCCGAGTAGGCTAGGCTAACCAACCAGCCAGCTTCGGCAGTCTGTCTGTCTCTTCCTCCCCCGCCCTAGGATTACAGGTTGGTGCCACCATGCCTGACTTTAAAAAGTAAAAAACGTGCGTTCTGGGAATGGAGCTCAGGTTCAAGCACCATGTGCAGGCTGCACTGACTCCGCTTCTCAGCTTCATCAGGACATCTCTGTCCTGCCTCTGGCTTTCTGAACCCTCTAGGGCTGATTGTGTCTCCTGGAGAACTTCTCCCTTTGTGAAATTCTGTTGCTCTCACACCTTCAAGGAGGCCCAGAAAGTTAGCATGTGGAGACATCACAGACAGCAGTGAAGCTCTTCTGTAAGCTTTGGGAGTGACTGCAGTTCTGCCTCAGCTGAGAGATCCAAGTCTCCTTGTCTAGGATGACCATCTGCTGCCTTAACTTCCAGCTCATCTATGTTGTGAGTTTGCAGTAAGGACAACCCAGCTGGAGTGAGAGGGACCTCAGATACCGGATGGGGAAATTTCTTATTGCCTGTTTTTGAGTGTCCATAGAAGCCAGACCCAGAAGGACAGAGCGGTGGCCTAAGGATAGGAACTGAGACAGAGAAAGCATTTGCCTCCTTCTGACCTTTGACGTTTTTAAAGTAACATTTATGAACATTCTAGAGGATGGACAAAAATAGTACCTGTTCTAGCTTCCTTTCAATTGCTGTGATGAACATGATCAAAAGAAACTTGGGGGGAGAAATGGATTATTTGATGTACACTTCTAGGTCACAGTTCATCACTGAGGAAAGTCAGGGCAGGAACTTGAAGCCAGGAACCATGAAGGAACACTGCTTACTGTTTTGCTCACAGGCTCATACTTAACTAGTTTCTATATAAGGCCAAGACCACCTGCCTAGAGAATGGTACTGCCCACAGTGGGCTGGGCCCTTCTCTATCAGTTAACAATCAAAACCATCCCTCACAGACATGCCCACAAACCAACCTGATAAGGATGGATACTCGGTTAAATCTCTTTTCAGGTGACGCTAGGCTGTATCACCCTTACAGTTAAAGTTAACAGTGATAATCCATAGCCACAAAATAGCACTGCCCATAGTTAGGAGCAAATGTTTATCTGCTATATACACATTTACACATGCATGCATACATTCATATATATATATATAAAATGTAAAATTTGCTAATACACCAAGACCTACTTTCGACTTATTAAAACTGTTCTTTAACATTTTATAAGAGAAATGGACCCAGCTATAAGGATGCATCTCATGAACAAAATGAACCCCATAATAAGCACCAAGAATTAGAAACACTGTGACCTGCACAGCCCAGGATATCAGGTTATTCTCAATGGTAGGATATCATTTACAAATCCTTTTACAAGGTGACTTTGATGGTCACATGGCATTCCAAAAATCTGCTCCACCATCATTTGGGCTCATTCTTATTGGACCTGCCATCCATTTCCATTTTTCCATTAATAAAACAGGCCACAGTGAATATTCTGATGACCACACCCGGTTCACAGTGCTCATTTCTAAGAGCAAGTCCCAGGTATGTAGCTGAAGGACCAGGGAGTTCTCTCCCCTCTTGAGGTCTTCAGCATGTGCCTGTCCTCCAGGAACCTGTCTCCCCTCTCTCACTGACTCTGCCACTGCCCTTCTCACTTGTTGGGCTGGTTCTCTCTGTTCTTGGCTCCTCTCCCTCTCCCCCCTCTCCCCGCCCCCCCGTTTGCCACTTTGGGGCTAGTGGGATGGCTTAACGGTCGGTTAATAGCACTGGTGGCTCTTCCAGAGGCCCCGGGTTCAATTCCTAGCACCCATATGACAGCTCACAACTTCTGTAACTCCAGGTCCATGTGATCCAACACCCTCACACAGACACACATGCAGGCAACATACCAATGCACATAAAATAAAAATAAAAAATTAAGTTAGCCACCTCAAGCTGGCCTGCCAGTCACATAGCAAGTGCTCTTCCAACGACCACCAAATTTTAATGTTAATTTTTTAATATAAAATTTGTATAAATCACTGAAGAGACATTCGAGATAATTTATGAAGAAGAAAAGGAAGAATCTACCTCCACCCACAGCAACCAGCATGCACTTAACTCAATGCTGTGGGTAAAAGGCTGCTTGAAATTTTCCAAGCCAGGACTATAGCTAGCTTACTCTTCCAAGTTCCTGTCAGAAACATATTTCCCCATCAGGATTACATCTTTTTTAATGCTGGTATGGTTTCATCTCAAATTTTCAAAAAAAAAAAAAAGAAAGAAAGAAAAACACATTTTTACAGCATGTTATAAGCATTCAGGGTCTTCTAGGCTTCTGCTGGACTTTCATCCTCTCAGAAGCCCAAAAGCGGAAGATGAACTTTGTGGGCCCTGAGCTCCCCATGGTTATCGAGGGCGGTCTCTTAGCAGAGGCAGTTTAATGCATCTGCCATTTGAACTGTGGTCCTTATTCTGCTAAAATCCTGCTGACTGCCCAACATGGCTCGTCGTCCACCAGGGCAGGCTTTGTGAGCTCTGTCAGCAGAGCTGCCTCACAGGAACCCCTGCTGAAGTGTGTCATCTGTGCCCATCAGCCAGGTGATCTTCTAGGGGACACAGGACTGAGGCCCTGTGACGGCCTGTCAGGCCACTCTTTCACAGAGAGAGCATGTGGCGAGTGCCTCTGAGATGTTTGCCCACATCCTTTCAGATCGCACCAGAATCCTGCAGACCATTCTAAGGCATCTGGACCAGTTTCTAAACCACTGATGATGCTTTGCAAATGCTTCCTTGGCTTCTATCTGAATTTGAACCAGTCTTCAGCACTTTATCTGTAAGGCTTGCTGGCCAGTCCAAGTTCACAGACTTCATAACATGTAAAAGAAAATAACTGAGTTTTATCTAATTAGAAATTTTGCAATGCTGGGGAATGGAGATGTGTGTGGCTTTTCTGGTAGAGTGTTTACCTAGCTCTGGGTTGATCCCCCAGCACATCAACTAGGCACAGTGGTACATACCTGGGAAAGAGAGGCAAGGGCATCCAAAGTTTGGGTTCAACGTCAGCTACATAGGGGGTTTGAGGTCAACTTAGACTCTGTAAGACCCTGTTCCAAAATAAGAAAAGAAGGAAAGAGGGGAGGGATGGATGGCGGGAAGGAGGGAAAGGAAGGTGGGGAGAGAGATTTCATATTACTGCTGAATGGTTCTTCTCAAGAGTGGGCTCAGTACTTAGTGTAAGCATCACCTGGGAGCTTGGAAAACACTGAGGTGGGACCCACAGGCTGCACCTGAGGATCCCACAAAGAATCCTGGAGGAGTTGAAATGGGTTCCACTCTGTTCTCTCCAGCCTGCCCTGCTGCTGTCTGCAACCAAGCTCAGGCTTCCCACTTCCAACTCCTTCTTGAGTCAGGAATCCAAGGATATAATTAGGAGTACAAGTCAGGACCTAAACAAAAACAAGTCACTAAGTGAGTACAATAGCAGAATTGATAGGCATGGATCCCTTTTCTGGTAGAGAAATATAAGCAGTTTAGAGTTGAAATGGTACTGTAACTTGAGTAGTGAACAGGAGTGTGGACTGCTCAGTGTCTTCCACGCAGCTCAGTGGGATTGTAGGTTTGTTTTTAGTTTCATACAGTAACCTAAACTAGACTAGTTGAGAGTTCCTGTAGTTTTTTTTTTTTTTTTTTTTCACTCTTCACTCTTTGGAGACCCGCCACCCAGCTCCCAAATAAAGACATGGAGACTTATTCTTACTTATGAATGTCTGTCCTTAGCTTGGCTTGTTTCTAGCCAGCTTTTCTTAACTTAAATTATCCCACCTACCTTTTGCCTTGGACTTTTACCTTGTTTTATTCTATGCCTCTTTCTTTCCTTCTTACTCCATTGACTGCTGTGTTGCTAGGCGACCCCTGACATCTTCCTCTCCTCTTTTTTTCTCTCCTCCTCTTCTTGTTCTCCTCCTATTTATTCTCTCTGCCTGCCAACCCCACCTATTTCTCTCTCCTGCCTTGCTATTGGCCATTCAGTTCTTTATTAGACCAATCAGGTGTTTTAGACAGGCAAAGTAACACAGCTTCACAAAGTTAAACAAATGCAACATGAAAGAGGGCAACACATCTTTGCATCATTAAACAAATATTCCACAGCACAAAGGAATGTAACATATCTTCAACTAGTATTTCACAACAAGTTCCCATCTCCAAAAAGAGGCTGCACCAGTTTCATGGAAGACTTAGACATGTGAAATTTACACATTCAATGTTTATGGAAATTTCACCATAGCTGAGGAATTGAGAAGTGTGTGTTGGTCTTGAATTGTGATAGAGCTAGTTTCAACTCCCAGCCTCACCTACAAAACATCCCTGTGCCACCCATACACTGGCATGTTATACTTTGAATGCCTGTTTTTCATGTGCATGAATGTGAAAACTAGAATGTCCATTACTGTATTACTGTGAAGTTTAACTAAAATGACTGTGTAAATCTTGGCATGAAACCCAAGTTGTCACAGTTACTCAGACCCTTTCAAATGATTTGACATTGAATTCTTCTTGAACTTTCTCTCCTACACCAGAAAACAAATTTTTATTTTCACTATTCTGCCATACAGAGTTCTGTTATAAAGTTGATTTAGCCTATTATCATAAACTCTGATTAACATGGTGACCAAATGAACTCTAAATGGCCCTGAAATCTGAGCAAAAAGACATTGCTTGTCCATTGACTCTGGTATCTGTCCCCAAGAATAGAAACATGGGAGCCATGACATCCGAATTCTGGCTTCACCTCTGCCCTTGAGTTGCTGGTTACCATGAGCAAAACTTGTATGTCTCTGGGTCGCCTTGGTCACTCCATCTGGCTGCAGCCTTCTAGTTTTGCACCTCTTGAGGTACTTGGAAGCAAATTTCCTTCAAAACACAGAAAAGCACGCTGTTAGCTGTGCAGAGTCAGCAGGTAATTATGGAGCTACCCAACGATAAAAAAGATGAGGCATGAACCGTGCTCAGTGCCACTTTCAAGTATAACCACAGTACAAACTCCCAAACAAAGGGGTGGCTAACAGAGGCTTCTTCTGTGTGACTGTTACACCAGTCGGAGGCCTGTGGTAAAAGAAATGTAAACTGCTGAGATTAATCAGTTTGGGGTTTTAAAAATAGTGGTTGGCAGGGCTGGAGACTCAGCAGTTAAGAATACTGGCTGCACTCCCAGAGGACCTAGGCGCAAGACCCAGCGCCCACATGACAGCTTACAATCATCTATACCTCTAGTTCTAGGGGATCCAATGACCTCTTCTGGTTCACAGACATACATGCAAGAAAAACACTCATATACATTTTTTAATTAGTAATTGAAGTCTGGGCATTATTTTACATACCTGTAGTCAGTCCACAGTTTTGAGGCAGAGGCGGGAGCATTGCCTCAGGTTTTAGGCCAGTTTAGTCTACATAGTGAGTTCCAAGTCAGCCAACACTCCACAGGGAGACACTGTCTCAAAACAAATCAGTAAAAAGATGGTTGTAAGTGTCCCCCAGGTAGAGTATGAAGGCTCAGAGAACGCAGACATAGGTTGGTCACAGAGGCTGTTCAGTTGCTTTGCCAGCACCATGGCTGGCCCTTGTCTTCTTGATCTGTGCTGATGTGCCTGCTTCTTTTCAGCTGCCCTGTGAAGACCAGATCATCCTCCTCAAAGGCTGCTGCATGGAGATCATGTCCCTTCGAGCTGCTGTGCGCTACGACCCAGAGAGCGAGACTCTAACCTTGAACGGGGAAATGGCAGTGACGCGGGGCCAGCTTAAAAATGGGGGTCTCGGGGTGGTGTCGGACGCCATCTTTGACCTGGGCATGTCTCTGTCCTCTTTCAACCTGGATGACACGGAAGTTGCCCTGCTTCAGGCTGTCCTGCTGATGTCTTCAGGTGGGTGGCTGCGAAAAGAGCCTCTGGGGCCAGGTGCTAACTCAGAGCTCTCAGTGGGTGCTCTGTCTCCCCTTAGCTTTAGAGTCTTAGCTGGCTCTCTGTCAGCAAGGGACTACAGGGGTCAGTGGACAGGGAACTGAATGTAGGATGTCAAGAGTCTGATGCTGTACGGCTCTGACTGGCCTGAAACTCACTACAGAGCCCACACTGGCCTCTTACTCAGCTCTTCTTTGAAACCGTTTATGGAAACAGTCGTCGCTGTAGTTTTTCCGAAGTGTATGTTCTGTTGGCCTTGGATTCTGACAGAGCTAGCTTCAGATGCCCACCTCACCCACAAAACATTCATATTAAGCCCCAACCAGCATGTTATCATCCAGCTGCCTGAGTTTGCATTATCTCTAAATAAAATTGAAATTAGAATATTTGCCTCACTGTATTACTGTGAAGATTAGCTAAGGCACGGTGTAACTCTTGGCATGGTACCCAGTTCAGATAGAGAAAATGGGAGCAGAGGCAATGGAAATCCTATAAAATGATCCCCTTTGAGCAGACAATTCATCCACCCCTGCTTGCTTCTGGCTTTGCCTGTGCTAAGTCTGGCTATGAGTGATGGCACCATCCTGTGGAACACACGGCTCAAGTTTTAGTTTCCTCTCACTATGCAGCACACCAATCCCAAGCCGAGTGCTTAAGATATCCAAGACAAGCAGAGCTGGAGCTGAGACGTGGAACACAACTGCGCAAGTCTCTCCTAGCAGCCTTTCCTCAAAGAGTACTCAGACTTCTTACAAGCTGCTGGGTCCCAAGAGAGAGGCCTTCAAGCACATGAAAGCAGAAGCCCCCCCAGATTTAAGTCCCAGTGTGTCCCTTCAGCCATATTCTATTTGCCAGCTTGTCCTAGCTCCAGCCCCCACTCAACATTCTCCCTCACCATTCACCCGGCCGGGAGGACATGATGTCTTTAACCTACCAGCTCCGCTGCCTGTCAGAACTCCAGCTCCCGACAGTGGAGGTTTAATGGCAGAGCTGACACTCTCCTCTTTTTGTTTATGTCATGATAAATAAATGCAAAGAACACCGCGTTGTTTAAGGGAAGCCTCGAAATACAGACAATGACTTCAGGTCGGCCTCTGCATTTCAGAACGTTTTGCCATTCTGTTCTGTCTATCTGCTTAACTTACCCACAGCTCCCTCTGGTCTAGCTATACTTTGAGGTCATAGATGTGTCTAACCAGTGCCCAGTAGACTCCAAAAAAGGTTTATTGGATATGTGGCTAAACATAGCCACAAAACCCGGGTCACAGACACCTTGAGAATTCTTTATTGAGTTGAAGCTTGCTAAGTATTTTTAAGCTGATCTAGAAATTCATTTCTTACATAAAGTATAGATATGGAAGATATTTTAAAAGCAATAATATTGAAACTTATTTTGTGCAAATTTTCAAATATAGACAGAATGGCACACTGAACTCTCTTGGTGACTTTGGAAAGACTTCAGGGGACTCCGTTTTCCCAGTATCTGCTGTTCTCACCCTGTGTGACCCCCTTCCCTGTGACTTGCTTTTAACCAATAGAATCCCACAAATTCAATGTTACCTCACGTGATTCCATATGCAACATAAAATTATTGCTTCCAGACTTATTCTACAAGGACATTCGTGGCTTCATGAGATTGGCACCCATCTGGAGAAAGTTCACACAGTGGGAGAACTGCACAGCTGGTGTCCAGGCTACAACCAGGGCCCTGGTCACTTGAGCCTGCATCCTTCAGGAAATAGAGAATTCAGAGAAACAAAATTGGGAGCCTCTCTATGGGCTGCCTTTGTAATACAGTCTCTCTCTAAAGTGACCCATTAAAATGGAAATGGAATGCATGTGGGAACTATATTCATGGAGGGAATGAAAGCAAGTTTTAGCTAAGTCATTATTGGTACAAAGACACTTTTAAATAATGTTGACTTACATAGGGAGAAAGCTATGTTTTCTGTAATTTCTTCTGACTGTAAGCCCTAAATAAGTCAGAGAGAGAGAGAAAGAGAGAGAGAATGATGCTAGTCTGACTGTAACACCTCTCCAATCCTTTCTACACTATTTTTAACAAAAAAAAAAAAGGGCTCAAGGACATAAAATCTTCAGCAAGAACCCTTGCCTTTAATAAAAAACCTTTTATTATTCAATAAGTTTTTCTCCATGCATTTGTTTTCATAGTTATCATCTGTTTATGAAAAATGGATTTTATTACTGTAGAATAAGATATTTCATCTGGAATAAGTCAATAATGGAAGGGAACTGGTAGGGATGGCAGCTGTGTCTGTTTTTATATCACTGTGATAAAACATTCCATAAAACCAATTTGAGGAATGGAAGTTTTACCTTGGCTCATGGTTCCAGAGGGCTGTGTCCGCAGTAGCCTGGCTCCAGTGTGTCCGCAGTAGCCTGGCTCCACTGTGTCCACAGTTGACTGGCTCCACTGTGTCTGTAGTAGCCTGGCTCCATTGCTTTCAGGTCTGTGGTGAGGAAGTGCACCATGATAGGAAGCATGGGGTAAATGAAGTTGCTCACCTTGTGGCTGCCAGGAAGTAAAGCCACACCCCACCCCCACCAGATCTGTCCATCAACACTGCACGCCACCCCACCAGATCTGTCCATCAACACTGCACGCCACCCCACCAGATCTGTCAATCAACACTGCATCCCACCCCACCAGATCTGTCCATCAACACTGCATCCCACCCCCACCAGATCTGTCCATCAACACTGCACGCCACCCCACCAGATCTGTCCATCAACACTGCATCCCACCCCCACCAGATCTGTCAATCAACGGTGCACACCACCCCACCAGATCTGTCCATCTCAGTACTGCACCCCAACCCCACCCAAGCTATCCATTTTAACACTGCATCCCATCAACACTGCATCCCACACCAAAGCTATCCATTTCAACTGTCACCTTGGCTCCTGGTATTCTACAGTCCATGCCACATTCTCACTCAATCCTGGAAGCAGTGAAGTCCCCAGATCTGGAACTGAACCAGACAAGCTCCCTCCTTCCACCTCTGAACTCATGTCCATCTTCTTCCTCCCCTCAGATCGCCCAGGGCTGGCCTGTGTTGAGAGAATTGAGAAATACCAAGACAGTTTCCTGCTGGCCTTTGAACACTATATCAATTACCGAAAGCACCACGTGACACACTTTTGGCCCAAGCTCCTGATGAAGGTGACAGACCTGCGGATGATTGGAGCCTGTCATGCCAGCCGCTTCCTGCACATGAAGGTGGAGTGCCCCACGGAGCTCTTCCCCCCTCTGTTCTTGGAAGTATTCGAGGACTAAGAGGACTGGGCAGGTTCTCGTCATTCCTGCAGCGCTACTGGATGTCGTTTCATTCCACCTCTGGCTCTTTGTGTTGTTGTTTCCTTGTTGCTTTGTGTCTGTCGGGTGGGGTCATCCGGAGTCAGTGGGTCACCTAGGCAGAGACGGAAACTGTCTCTTGAATGTGGGTCTTTGTAACTGTCGCATTTGTTCTCCAGTCCTTAGTGTGAATGCTTTGAAGGGTTTACAGCAGTGCAGGGGGAGTGGGGGATACTCATTATCTCACCAGCACCAGCCATCACCAGCTCCCATCTGTCCCTGGTCGGAGACTCAAGCAAGTCAAACGGCACTGCAGAAAACTAAAGAAGCCTTAAAGCCACGACCGCAGTCATCCTGATCCAGTTCTGATGTGCGCAGGGCGAAGCTGGCAGAGCCCAGGCCCCCTCGGGTTGGGTGTGGCTTTCAGAGTGTAAGGGTTAGAAGCAGATTCTACCTAGGAGCTCACCATTTCCAGCACCCTGACTCTCCAAGCAGCATGACTTGGAATGTGCAGGAATAGCCACACCATAATCAGTCAGCTTTCCTTCCTGTGGCCTTTTGTAACCTGGTGATTTACTTCAAGTTGGACAGAGCATGACTTGAAGACTTGGCTGGTTTGAGGCCACAAGGAGAGTCTTTTTCTCAGCATGCCCATAGAGCTGGGAAATCTCCATCAATGTTACAAGCATAGTTTCCAAAATGCAAGTGGTATTACCTCGAGCAGGAAGGTGTCTCCACAGCTTACATAGATTCACAAGCCATTTCCACAAAGCTCAAGCCTGTTTACAGAGTGCCGTTGTCTCTGTGGTGGCTCTGAACCAGTCCTTTCCCCAGCTCACAGAGGTCTTTATCCAGGTTGTCCTTTGGGCTGGGATGTCACTTCCCGATGCATTAGAACTTCTGATCGGGGAGAGACACACGTGTTGAAATTCCAGTCTTGTTTGGAAAAATCCCTGGGCAAGATCAGTGCAGGAATATTCTGATCCAAAGGAAATGCACTACTCATGGGCTGTCATGGAGAAGGCTGTCCCATGGCTGGAGGATGCTTTCACTGGTCTTGGATCCGTAAGAGCTTTACTTTATTCACAATTCTCTCCCAGCCCCTCACCTCCCCACTACAGTCTGTGGTACTAAGCAGTTTGACTCTCTCTAAACACTAATTCTTCTATAGCTTAAACATCATTACACGGGCAAACCGTCCTCATAAAACAACGGCAGACCATGCATAAGAACCCAGTTACCTTTGCTGCCCAGCCTACCCCCAATGACTAGCGTACAGTAGACGTTCCTGAGAAACAAGTAGTAACAACTTACTGCAAACGGGCAAAGAATGTACCCATGCCACTGAATGTACCCCGTTCTTCACTGACATAGCAGTATGAACTACTCCTTTGCCTGCCTGTCACTGCCTTATCCTGGAAATACCAGGGGAAACAAGCCATATCAGCAAGACTTACCTAAAAACAAAGGAAAGGAAGTCACTGTGAAGACTGAGGACACGCACTTGCATTCATTAGACTTTGGAGCACACTTGGCCTCCCTGGAAGTCAGGGCCCCTGAGTTCTAGTTTGTGCTTGGCCGCCTGGTCAGTTTAGAACCTCACAGTTTCAGTTTTCTAACTGGGTAAATAAGTCAATCTAAAATCCCTCTTATTTTCTCTGTTTATGACCTTCCAGTAAAGGGGTGGGGAGTGTCCTTGAAAGATTCCTTTCATATTCAAACGTGTTGCCTTTATCAGACAAAAGGAAAGGCCCATTCACAACTGAGAAATGTATCTGGCTTTTATTCAAAATAAGAGTTTGACTCAGAAGAAGGCAGAATGGCCTTGGGAGAGGAGAGGCGCAGTGCTCAACATCTCCAGAGCCTGTGGAAATAGTCTAGGGGGAAGGCACGTCTGTGTGCTAAAGACCGACTTCCCAGGTAAAGAAAATGAGAACGCTCTGTGGACTTGGTGTAGATATTAAAATAGAAGCAAGAAGCCCCATAGATTCATGTTTAAACATCCAGTGAGGGTTTGCTTTTCCAGGCAGCCTGTAGCCGGCCTCCTCCCTCACAAACTTCATTAAACATCTGTTCTCTCTGTCAACTCTCCTGGAGGACCTCTGTCCAGACAATAAAAACAAGCTTGCTGTGAGGCAAGTTCTCCCAAAAGGCGAGGGAGGGAGGCCGGCCGGTGAGTCCCGCACAGGCTCACACTCTGCTAGGACAGAAGAGTTTCTGAGGAAGTTTCCTGATTCCGATGGCTTCTGAAGGACATCAGACACCTGGATTCCAGCATTAGTACAGGACTTTGGACCGGGGTCATTGAGGGTGCCTTAGGGATTAACCACCACGGGGCACAAGCCCAATCCTCAGCCGTCCAGTCAGCCCCAGCACGTTATCCTCACTCTGTAAAAGTTCACCTTCAAGGGGCAGACCCAGCTCTAGCAAGCGTGCTGGAGGCTGAGCATTCCTACTGAATAAGATATGCAAGCTTCAGTCTTCTGGCAGAAGGAACAAGGCCAGCAGGACATCAGAATGACTAAAGTCGTGCCCCCCTCCAGGAAACTCCGTTTTATGAAACTAGATTGTGAGGAATTGGCTCCCAACTTTTTTTCTTTTCTTTTTAAAAAGCATTTTCTTCTAATCTTGTCCAGACTTTCAAATCAAGTGGATGTGGTGGAAAGAACCTTCGTACCTGCCCCACTGTGGGGAGACATTCCAGTCAAGGAGAACATGCCCATCCCACCCACCGGGATGCTCGGGATGCTCACTTACAAATCAATGTATGGATGAGAAGGCTGTGCACATACAATAGACGTGTGTGTGCACATGTGTGTGTACGTGTGTTTGTTCCCTCAAGTGTGCTTTGCACTTCGGTGTCAATGTGCAGAACTTCCAGAAACTGGGAGGAAAAAGAACAACTTTTATTCTCTATGATTCTGCTGAAAACACCACGTGCCGCCTCTGAGCTTTTTCTAATGTGGTGAGCCTCCGTCCTCAGTGATGCGCTTGTGTGCTGGAGCCTCGGCCCAGCCCGCCCCCGCCTGTGGCCCCAGTGCCACCTCCGCCCAGTGCAATCTCGGGGAGAGTGAGGCTGGCTCCACTCTGCACGTTAACCTGCGGGGCTGGCGCCCAAGCCTTGATCTCCTCACACTCAGCCCTCCCCAGCCCAGCCTCATGACCTGCTGGGCCTCTTCAGAGCATGTCATTGTCAGTAAGACATCTTCATTCTGTGGAACTCAAACCTATCCATGTCATATTGACCTTTTGCTGCATGAGTCATAAATTATGAAATCAGTCTTATGGTTTTTGAGATGTAGCCAGCGTTTTGTAAGGCTAAACCTTTTTCATGAACTTAATTGAATAACCAAACACAGATCCTCCTTAAAATGAGAGACGACAGACAATTGACTCTCTTGGCCCTTTCTAATGGCGATGGCATCAGGTCCTACAATAAGCTCATAATTTCCTGTTATTTTAATAATGCGGAAATGTTAGCATAGTGTTTCTTTTGATAGTGATAGACTGATCCATATTTAAATTTTATAGAGAAGAAATTTTATTGTACTGTGATGTAGATATTTATTATCCAGGTAAGGATTTGCCCGGTGTGTATTTTTTACAATTGAAACATTTTACTTTAATCTTTAAAAAAAGAAAAAAAAAGACATTAAAAACACACACATACAAAAAAAGGCTAGGGAAAAAAAGGTTTGGCCTTATCACAGAATTTTTACTGTGTTGTATAAATGTTTGCAAATGAAAAATTACACATTTCTAGTGTGTTTCCACATTAATTAATGCGCCTTCAGGAGCAATGTTGTGCAGGTAAACACTGAGTGTGGCTTTCTGTTGCACAGCTCAAGCTGACCCACCTTATGCACAAGACAATCAAATGTGAGTCTTTCCTCTGAGGATGTGGACAGTACTCAAGAGATCACACTGAGACAAAGGAAGAGACATTAGGCAGGCCGGTGCGCTGATGGGGAGACGTCAGGGCATGAGTGCACTCGTGTGGCCCAATGCCACTTCCTCCCTTTGGTTGTTGTTGTGACCTTGGCATCTGTCATTTGACATCATATAGCCAAAGTAGTTCTCCATGCTTTCTTCAGAGAAGATGATTCTTTTTTCCACAATGTTTCATGCCCTGAGAATCAGGAAAAAACAAAAGGTACAGAATAGAGAGGTTTACAGTCAGTGGAAGATTTGTGTTTTGCAAACAGTGTTAAGTGATACTGCTAGATTGGTAATATTTTTTTCAGCCTAAAATTGTTGAAATCTGTGATCAAAATGTTTTAAACTATCCAAAAAGAAAATTTGTATATTTGGGAAAATGGATTTTTACATAGCTTTTGTATGCAGATATTAAATTGTAATTATGAATATAGTGGGCATAGATACTCATAAGCTTAAATTCTAAAAAAGAAAAAAAGAAAAAGCTTACAATGGATATATTTGCCTGTCTCTTTCTTTAAATGTTTCTGGATAGAAGGGCTGCCTACTCATCCCACCTCAGCATTGAGGCAGGGAAGGAATCTCAAATACACGGTGCATCTGATAAGATGATCAAGTTCACCTTCAGGGAGCATGGGCAGGGAGGAGGAGGAGATAAACAGATAGACTGACTGACTGACAAACAGACATCACCAAATCATCCAGCAGATACCTAAGGAAGCTCCATTAAGGTAGTTAGAGTTCTCAAAAAAGAAAATCCAGAGCAGAGAAGAATGTGCCTTAGGATAACAACAACTAACACCATAAAGATAACGGCATCAAATGGGGTTTGCGTACAGGAGAGCTGAGGCCCGCAACTAGCGTCTTTGTTTAAACCTTCTCTCCAAGGCTGGAGTTTCCACAGCTGAACTTCTGGCTTCTGGTTCCCACTGTGCATGCTTCTCTGTCATGGGATAAGTAGTATCAATTCTTTTGACGTTGAAAAAATGCCCAGGAGTGATTTATCTCCCAGCTATGTTTAAGGACACAGATTTCTACTTTAACAATTTACCCTCCTGTTCTCAAGGACATGGTACTTCCCCACAGAACAGTGAGTGATTCAATCAAGGAAATTTTATTTCCTCAATATTGTCTGACACTGTGTAGAGGCCAGTGGAAATGTTTTCCCATGTGGAATTTCACTTAGTTCAAGAGTGAAGGACATGGTCTTCTTTCAGGCTGTTAACAATTTCCTTTTCATTTTCTTTTTTTTTTTTTTTTTTTTTTTTTTTTTTTTTTTTTTTTTTTTTGGTTTTTCGAGACAGGGTTTCTCTGTGTAGCTTTGCGCCTTTTCCTGGAACTCACTTGGTAGCCCAGGCTGGCCTCGAACTCACAGAGATCCGCCTGGCTCTGCCTCCCGAGTGCTGGGATTAAAGGCGTGCGCCACCACCGCCCGGCTCCTTTTCATTTTCTTGCACACAATAAGTTGCCATGAGGAAGGAAGATGCAAGTAGAAAAGAAAAAAAATCTTCAAAATAACAAAGTCAGACCTTCTAGTGCACATAGATGGGGTGAGATGAAAACCACTCATGAGTGTTACTCCGAGTTCTACAGATGTGCTGTTTACTTACAGCAGACACACACATTCCTCTGTGTTCTCAGGGCTTTGTGACTCTACTAGTGGGTATTCTGAGCCCTGAAGACATCTCTTAGGGTTCATTTTGCTACCTGCACTAAAGCCAGGCAGGACCTTTGTGATAATAACACATCACAATTTGGAGTGCCGGCGATCCCTGAGGGACATTCCTGGTAAGTGAACTACTAGTTGGTTTTCAGAAAGCTCAACTGTTTCCCCCACACTTTGACAAAACATCATTCAATGGTTACTTGGCACTTGAGAGTCCCAACAGCCACCTAAAAGGATACACTGGGTACTTTTGGCTCCCCAGCCCCAGGTTTTTGCTGTAATATTGGGTTGTATCATACTGGCAAGCCTTATATGAACACCTACTCTATCCTAGGAATCATGCTTCACCCCTTCATTCTACCTCTAATCCTCTAAAGCATATAAGAAAGCATGAGTTTTCTGATGATAGGGCAATGCAACCCTACTGTGGTGATGTTTGCGCTTACCTTCCAAAACTGCTCACCTAACCCACTGCAAAACAAAACAACAAAAACCCACATATACCTGAAGAAAGGCTACCTCACCCCCTCAATAGACTAGATCCATGTCAAGTACACTCACTGAGGTCATAGAATGAAGAGTGATTACTCTTTGTGACATTTATGTAGTATCCCAATGGCTTTTAGAGGCCTAACCAAAAGGTGTTTTTGTTTTTGTTTTCTGGGACAGTCTTGCTGTATAGCCCTGGCTGGTCTTGAATTCACAAAGATCTGCCTGCCTCTGCCTCTCTCCACCCCAACTGGTGGCGTTAAAGGCATGCACCATCACACACTAAGGTATTTTGTCCTATGAGCATTTGAAAGTCGACTTTTGGAAAAGCTGCAATGCATGTTAGAAGAATTTATCACAATGGAAGTTAGGAGTCATGAAAGGTGTTGATAAGGAAACAAGATGACAGAAGCATTTTCCTTCCAAGAGGAGACAGCATGCTATTATATCACTCTTAACTTTAGATGATAAAATTACTGGCAATGAATGGTGCAGGTAAATTTCTTGGAAAAGGTGAATCAAATCATGTTGATAATGAAACTGGAAAGCCCCAAAATGAAAAGAATCCAATAAGAGCACAAATTTCCCCTGCTTTATAGGTTTCTGGGGCTGGCTTGTTTAGTTTCAAAGAACTGAGAGGGTTTTTTTTATATTTTTGTTTATTCTTTAACAATTTCATGTATGCATACAATCTTGATCATATTCCCCAAATCCTCTTCTCCTCACTCCATACCCTATAACAAATTCCCCATCACACTTTCACGTCCTCTTCTTTTTTGTTAATAACCCATCTAACAGGTCCCCAGATCTTAGCACAACTGACACCATGGTGAGAGTACCATTCAGGCCTTGGAACCCAGCACAGAGGCAGCAAAGCCTGTCAAAAATGAAACCAAGACCTAAGCCATCAAAGTCCATAGTTCTGGGAAAGTCTCTAAATGTACTAACCTTGCTTTTTTGGCTTATGTAGTTCTGCTTCTGATTAACTGTCCTTGCTAATTGAGGTGTGTTGACCCAGGGTGTGGTTTTTGTGGGTAAAAGCTCACCCTGAGAAAGACTTGGGACTGCACTGAGGTCCTGAATACCCAGTGTAGTCAGTGGCTGCCTAATAAAGACTTTCTATTGGCTTAAACCTGTGTCTGAGTGGTCTTCTCTGGTGGATCCCTCACAACATTTCTGGAGGCCCCAGAGAGATCCCCAGAGACCAGACCTCAAGTCTCAGAACCCCTCAGAGTAAGTAAGAGTACAGTGGTCAAGGGTATCTTAGGAGGTGCACAACCTGGTGTGTTACAGGGCCCCAGGACTCCCTTTGATCAATTGCTGACTGATGCTTCAGAAGAATATGACACTTACAGCCCAAAAGGGAACAAAATCAAAAGTTACCTGATCTGTCACTTCCAGAGGTAAGTCTAGTTATGGTACCTTCTGTTTAGGACACAAAGGAGAGTCAGGAGAGTCATAGCCACTGATCCAGCATCCAGGATCCATATGAGATGGCACTGGACTTCCCTGGTCTGTTCAGATGTATGAATATATAGTGGCCACCCCTGGTTGTCTTGACTATGTGTCTGTTTGTGTGCTTCTGTCAGTTCTGTTGGTTGGACAAACAGATTTAAAATGGAAGGGGGAGCGAGCTTCCCTGAGATGTTGCATGATCTCCTGCAGGCTCATGGGCTGTGCCCTCCTCCCACCCCTGCTTTCCACCAGTGACTGTGGCTGCAGTGACAGCAACTGCTGCTATTGCTATGGCCATGCCAGCTGCAGCAGCTGGAGGAGGCCACTGTGGACAATGGTGGAGTTTGCTGCAGCCCAGGGGGGGCGGTGCCAATGAGAACAGATGTGATGACTATTCCTCACACGGAAAACTCCAGACCTGCTGTGAAATCAATTGCCCCTCTCTTGGAGTTGGGTGGCCTCATGAGGCCATCTGGAAGAAAGTGACTGGGAGACTGGTCACCCTAAACAGTTTCCCAGTGTTGACCAGTGGCTTTCTCTGGAGAGACACCAGTGTCTGACTTTTCCAATGATACAGATCATTGGTTGAAAGAAGACATAAACCATATCCAATTCTGTAAAACTTCAGCCTTCAGTCTAGCCAGCCTGCTGCCAGATGATAACCCAGTAGAACCACTCCAAGACAGCAAACCAGTTAGGGTCATCAGACTCAAAGGACCAGATGAGGGGCATAGCAGGTTATGATTCCATGATGTCGTAGTGGATACAAACAGGGTCCCTGGCACCCACCTCATGAGGAGGGATGTTTCAGGGTACTGTCCCAGCCCCAGCCCCTCCAGCTCTGGACAGAAGGAGCTCACAAGCAGGCACTGACTGTGCAGGAGCTGCTCATGGCCACTGTGAAAGATGGACTCAAGAAGTTTCAGCTCCAGCCCCAGCTGCTGCTGCCCCTGCAAATACAGCCACTGCATCTCTACTCCTCCACTCTGGGGCTGATGACCCTGAGCCTCCAGCCTCCACTTTGGGCTCTGATGCCACCAAAGTCCATACTTCCTGAAAGTGATTGATGCAGTCCAATCCATCAGAACTGAAGAGGTATGAAATAGGAAGAGTTTTGTTCAAGATAAAACCAGGTATTCCGGGAGCCATAGTTATCACCTTGAACAGGACAGTGTGGGTCCAGTATCTCAGTCAAGGGACTTCAGCACAAAGGGCTGAGCTTCTGGCACCAAACCAGACACTTTGGTGGGAATAGGGCAAACCATCTCTGGGTACACAATCAGTATGCATTTGCCATAGACCATGTCCATAGGGCCCTCTGTGGAGAGAGGGGGCTCCTCACCTAAGCTGCAAAGGAAATGAAAAACAAAGAAAAAATCTTGGCCCTACCAGAAGCTGCCAAGAGAAGTAGTTATTGTCCACAGCAACATGTGTCAGAAGGAAATCCCCTGGGTCCCGAGGAAACAGGGCAACAGAAATCTAGGCGGCCACCAGGAGGCCCGAGAACCACTGGGGCCTCTGCAGAGCTCGGTTACTCCTACCTAAATTGCTCCAGAGCCCAACCTATGCACAAGGAAATCCAGTGGGCAAGAGGGAAGATGCCAAGAGAAGGCAAACGCGTGATGGTTCTTGCCAGAGGAGAGACCTGTATTCTTTCCTGTTATGGGAAGATGGATGGTCGCCAAACTCTACCAGGCCACCCATCTGGAGGCAGCCAAAACTGCTGAGTTCAGATTTAAAAAAAAAAAAAATCCTAGATTTGGGTTGCCCATCTCCCTGCGGTCTCACAGTTCAGTGCCTGGCCTTCATGGCCAAAATTTTCCTAAATCTGGCAAAGGTCCTAAAAGTTGATTGGAGACTAAACCGTGCCTAGAGGCCACAAAACT